ATTCAACTTTCCAGTTAAAATCCCCTTCCAGCTTGCTGTTTCGAGTGAAAAAAATTAAGTTACACCACTGTTTGCTGGAGAACCTCACGTCGACGAGAGTTTTGTCAAAGTTAACCATTCTTACTTGTAGGAAAACGGCAGAAAATCAGGAGGAAAAGCGCAAAATTCCAGTCTGCATGCTTAAAAAGATTTTCAGAACGCTAGTTTGTTCCGTTTCTGTAGAGCCTGAAAAGTTCTTACTGTTCTGGAGTGAACTGTACAGAAAAAAAACATTTCGCTTGCTTTTAAAGTCTGCAGTTGTGCAATCGTTTGCGGCGGAAGAGATGGGAGAGCTTTCCTTAAATTTCTGCCACGTCTACGGAAGAATTACCTTTAGGCAAACATTCGAATGCAGATTTCCGTACTTTCTCAGTATCCTTATAAGGAGGCGAAATAATTTGCAAGGAACAGTCAAGGATTGCAGCCAAGCCGTAAAATCCGTTCACTCGTTGCATCTAATCAGTTGCGCCCATAGGTACCATAACCCCCGAAATATGCCTGAATTAGTCAAACACCTCTCTTACGCATGGACCCAGTCCAAATACAGTACATGGCCTATCTCCTGAAACCTTATAACGGAAATTCATGCGGGAATTTCTGGACGTCTTAAACGTTGCTTATTTTGCTTGCTCATGTACTTTCTTCAATAAAATGTCCTTTTCTTGTACAGAAATTGTGTTTACGTAATTATATCCAGTAAAATACTGCGATATACTCGAGCAATTTCCTATGCTAGTACCTTTCCCAGACTTCGGTTGCGAATTTGAGCGTGCTTTTCATCGAAAAGAAAGTGATTTGACCGCGAGAGTTTTAATAAACAGAGGTTGTCGGACTTCAAAATTCATTTTATGTCCGATGCTAATCGTGGTAACCAACTTACCAACACAAAGGTTATTTTAAGAGAACCATATGTTCTTTTGGTTTTGATGAGTCATATTAGCAGGCCTGTGTGATTTGGTGTCCTGAAGTGCAGTAATAACTCAGACGGGGATTCCTTTGTTGACATGGGATGAAATTTTTTGCCGTTTGCAAGATGTTACGTGACGTTACAGGAATACCCACCACCAAATGGTAATTTCCGGTTTTGAACATATGAAACACCACTTGTTGTGAAGTTTATTTTCTCCGCATACCTTATTTAGGAATAGAACGAGCAAAAAGTTAATAGTCTCGGCAAAATATCAGTACTTATATGGCACCCTGCCGTGCATTAATTGTCGAAAAACAGACTCCAAAATCGACCAATAAAAGTGAAAACGATCGTAATAAATATAAAAAGCAATGTTCTTACGTTTACGGTCGAAAATAATTAGTATTGTTTAGGGACGTGAAAACAACGACCAAAAGTGTCAACTGTTTTCTTGGCCTCGCCGTGCAATAAAGCTAGTACACAGAGGTCCGTCAATGGAGTGCAGTATTAAAGCGCTTCTCAAAGAGGTTACTTATTAGAGAAAGTTTTTTAATTGATCAGAGGCATATTCGCCGTTGTTTTTTTTGTTGCAGACAGCCAGCGTACTCGAAACTGAAGTTTCATGTTCGAATAAGTCTTCAGATATGACCTAACCGACCTTTTTTATTAAAAAGAAAGCCAAAACACTCACTAATTTCGTAAATATCTTCAAGAGGTATCCTATTTTAAAGGTTTTAACATATTAGATAACACGGGATCTGTCTTTATGGGCGATCGGGAAAAAACCATTAAAAATCATGCAGTATTCAGCAATATCTCAGGGCCGATCTGAAACTCAGTGTAATACAAAAAGGGCAAAAGTTATAAATTAATTTAACGGGAAAAATTGTCTCTGAAAACATAAAATGATTGAGTTACGATCCCGCCTGTCAGTTCTATCTAAATTTATTAGGCACCGATCGGCCTGGTAGCATGTGGCCCTATGGAAACTTTTGTTTCTATGACGGTCCCATTGGGAAACTCAAAAAATCCCGTTTTTTTTGAACTGCATCTCATCCAACTCAAAGGAGTCATGCACACTACGAATCCCTGGAAGACTGTTTTCGAATCTACACTCAGAATGAAGGCTGTTGACAAACCACTATATATGAAAGTACACAACTTCTTAAAGAATATTTAGATGTACACTTCATTGAAACGCCATTTCCAGGCTTCGTTTTATTTGTAGTTTCATTGTATATTCCCGATCGAAAACCGAAAGGGCAACGGGCTCGTGGCCCGGTGAGTAGAGGCGTTGACTTCTAAACCAACAGGTCGCGAGTTCGAGGCTCGGATGGTCCACACTTCGGGCTTGGGTATGGCTGGCTGACGACGGCTAATAAGCCAGGAATGGCCATTCCAGT